CCCCCCCACGAGGAGACCACAGCAATTAAGACATAGAGGACCTAAGGACAAAGTATGACAGCGCAGCCAAACCAAATGAAGACGGTTCAACTGGTGGTCCGCACCATCTGCACTGAACTCAGACATGGATTGATTTTGTCAGGCCTCGAATTGCTCCGCTTGAAGTTCCAAGAGGAAATGAACATAGTGGTGGCTCCAAGAAAGCCGGGCGGATGGTCTGCCCGCGGACAACCGCAAGATCAGGCTTATCGTGTTCATGTTCGCATGTTTTTGAATGGTTTAGCCATACTCCATGTCAGCATGTTTTGTGATTCCATGGGAATTTGGATTGGTAGAACAGCTGGTGCAGGTACACGGTTTCTTCAAGGGTATGAACGACTCTTCGACAAGGGCAGTGCTGGGATTCAATTCCAACCTCTTCCAAAGGACACCGTATTACATGTTGGAATTGGGCACGAGCGGACACGTTCGGAAGCAAATCCGAATGGAAGACTGCCTCTTGGCAGCCTGTGAATTTGAGAATGTTCAAAAAATCCTGCTAAATCTTTGCATGTATTGTGTAGCTGGTGCTGCTCTGTGCTGCTCCAAATGAGGCATTAGCATTTGCATCCAGAATTGGTTCCGAATTCCAAAGGTGCTCTTCTCAAAGGCCTGGGTCAAAACAGGCCACTTGTCCACAGAGCAAGCAATGGAGCTTGGTGGCTTTTCCAAAGATGACTGGGACAATTGCTCCTTGCTGACAGACCCCCTCTCATTGGGAGACATCCTTGGTCTCGAGAATCTAGATGAGCCCGGGATTGCTGCATTGATCTCCGAGGGTGCGAAGAACCGCAAGCGCTTCATCTTTGTCATGACAGGAAAGGGTCAGCCTGAGGATGGAGAGAAACACTGGGTGCCAGAGTCTTTAGCTTTTCTGCTGGAGAAGAGGTTGTGCAACTACCTCTTCCGAGTTGCAAATGCCAACGAGGTCGACAAGGAAGCTGTTCCAGCAAAAAGCACAGTGGTCTTCAACCCAAAGACCCAAAAAGAGGCAAATGTGAAGACTGTCAAAGAGAGGACTGTTCTGCACTCAGATGGAACCAGAAGCTACAAAGATGGTGCTGTCCGCAGGACATTTTCCCTCTTGCATTTGAATTGCAAGGAGATGACCTTGAGCATTCCCGGCGAAGACTGTCCGCGCCATGTGGGCATCTACATGCTCAATCCCGGAGAGGAAAACCCTTTGCATCAGGTCAGTTTGGCTGAGCTGCTGACTCAAGCGCCTGAACCACCTGGTGAATCAGACCCAGAGTCTCAAGCAGATGAGGTGGAGGCTGAGGCTGCAGAAATGGAGGCTCAGAACTTGAACGCTGGAGTGATGGATGAAGCCTTGCCGGATGAAGCTGGCCCTCCAACCCCAGCACCTCCAAGCCCGTCAATCTGGACAGATGAGGAGAGCGTTGAGTGTTGGTGACCGGTTGTCAAGCATTGTGGGGATGTAACAAACAAACTCTACTTTTTGGATCCTGTTCATGTTAGTTAAATGGGACTTTGTAACTAGATGGGGCGACCCTTGGACCATCTGTTTGTGATCAGGAGATCTGGCCGATGGAACATGAGCCGAGCACCGTCTCCAAGGGAGCTGCATCACATGATGATGTTCCATCTGCTGCTGCCTCCATGGTTGGACTTTGCGCAACAGACCCGGGAATTCGCTCTCAGTTGCCTGTTGGAAGTCGAATCCAACATAGGGCATCAAAAGATGCAACTGTGAAGGCTCCTGGCTTCCAGGCCTGGCCTCCCAGTGGGCCGTCACAGTGGTTCTCTTATGGCCCAAAGGGCCACTACTCCACCAAAGAAGATGCACTACAGCAGGCCCTTGCCTTTGTAAAGGGTTGATGCTGTTCACACTGACGTAGACTTT